GAACCTCAGCCGTGCACCTCGGGAGGCGGCACAGAGCTGTCCCCAAGGACCGTGCACACAGCCAGCCCCGTACGGCCCCCCACCTGCCGGCTTTCCTCTCTTCCCTTCCTCCCACTCCCGGCTCCCACACTAACTGCGGGCAGCAGCCGATGGTGCCTCCTCGGATCTGCCTCCTCCTCCCGGCCTGACTGGCCTGTGTGTGCAGGACAGGGGCCGCCCGAGGGACAGGTACTCACGCTGACCGACAGCACGGGCCCCACTTTGAACATGACGAAGCGGTCGGTCCCAGAGCAGATGTTGGGGAAGTCCTCGCCCAGCCGGCCCAGGCCCAGCTCCGAGGCCACGTACTTGGCGAAGGCACTCATCCGGGAGGGGCTGCCCCCGACGCACACGAACTGCGGGCAGAGGACAGAGCCGTGGGCGCAGGGCCCACTCCCCGCCCAGCGACACATGCGCCTCCTGGAACTTGCTAGAAAGGCAGCTCCCTGGCCCCTCCTGGTGACTCGACGCTCACGAGTCAGGGGGCCTGGCTGGTGGGGTCACTCAGCAAAGCCGCGGCTCCCCAGATGCGGGCCCAGACCTGCTTCTCTGGGAGGCGGGGTGGGGGCCTGCCTGCCGGCCTCCGTGCAGCATGGGGACTGGGGAGCCGGGGGTGGACTAGGACAGCGCCGGCTCCTCACTGTGCGGCCCAGACCCCACAGCCCACCTGTAAAGTGGGCTTCTGGCCCCGGCCGGCATGGCTCAGCGGTTGAGCATCGACCTAGGAACCAGGAGGTCAGGGTTCAGTTCCCAGTCAGGGCACATGCCCGGGTTGTGGGCTGGATCCCCAGTGTGGGGCGTGCAGGAGGCAGCTCTCTCATCATGGATGTTTCTATCGCTCTCTCCTTCTCCCTTCCTCTCTGAAATCAATAAAAACATATTTTAAAAAATAAAAAATAAAAAAATAATAACATAAAATGGGCTTCTGTCTACCACCTCTCACCACCACCCAAGCGCCAAATGGCCAACGCGTGGCAAGCGCCCGGGGCTGGTGGGGGCACGGGAAGTGGCCATGGAGGGGCGGGACTCAGAGAACCAAAGCAGGCACCCATCTATAATAATAAAAGAGTAATATGCTAATTAGACTGGACAGCCGAACGACCTTCTGGACATCCTTCCAGACGAAGCCATGGTGGTGGGGGCTGAGGCAGAGGCAATTAGGGGCGATCAGGCAGGCAGGCAGAGTGGTTAGGGGCAATCAGGCAGGCAGGCAGGTGAGCAGTTAGGAGCCAGCGGTCCCCCGACTGCGAGAGGGATGTCCGACTACAGGTTTAGGCCTGATCCTGTCTAATCCGACTGGGATCGGGCCTAAACTGGCAGTCGGATATCCCCCGAGGGGTCCTGGATTGCGAGAGGGTGCAGGCCAGGCTGAGGGTCCCCTGCCCCCCATGCACGAATTTCGTGCACCGGGCCTCTAGTCTGTATATAAGAACTTCTCGTTTTGTTTTACACCAGAAAAGCAAGTAAGCGCGCCAGCTTAAGGGAGTTAATGGCCAAAGAACTAAGTCTCTAAAGATGAAACAAGCCACTGAGGCGGCTGAACAGATGGGTGTCACCGTGTGTGCATGTTACTCACGGACCACACACTGCGCAGCCCCTCTGACTATCCTGCGCCCTAGACCCCGCCGGCGTCTCCTGTTCCCTCAGAGGCGTATGGTCCCGTTACACCCTAAACGCGCAAGGAATCAGAGGGGCCACGGGCAGGCCTGAGGACAATTTCCGCTCCTCACGAGCTGGTACGCAGACCAGGAACAACTCGCAAAATTCCAATAAGCCTGTCGCTTGGTGAGCGTCCTCTGTGGGGGCGTCGACTCAGGCCGCCGACAAAGGGGCTGACGGAAGCTCCTCACCTTCACGTCCCCGAACATGGCCGGGAGGTCGTGCGAGCTGGTGCTGAGGCTGAGGTGGTAGAGGATGTCCTCCTTCATCGTCGCGATGTTCGGGTTGCAGAGCCGGACGCAGCGGTCGCTGTTCGACACCAGGAGAGCGGGAGGTCAGCCGAGCACCAGGTCCAGTGGCCGCATGGCGACGAGGTGCCCGAGGTCAGCGTGTGGCCCGTGGCGGGAAGGACAGGGCCCCGCACGCCAGGCTCCACCTCCTGTCTCCCCTCTCCCCCTCCTCTTCCCCTCTCCCTTCCCCACACCCAGGGCCCTGTCTGGAGAGTGGATCTGAAACAACCCAAGGAACCTGAAATGGATGATATCAAAAGGTTTGCCCAACCAGTGTGGCTCAGTGGTGGAGCATCAACCCATCAGCCAGGAGGTCACGGTTCAATTCCCGGTCAGGGCACATGCCCGGGTTGTGGGCTCAATAACCAGTTGGGGGCATGCAGGAGGCAGCCCACTGATGAATCTCTCTCAATAGATCGAAAGGCTCAATCACAGGCCCTGGCCAGTGTGGCTCAGTGGTGGAGCCTCAGCCCACGCACAGAACGTGGGTTTGATTCCTGGTCAAGGACACATCCCTGAGTTGCAGGTTCGATCCCTGGTCCCAGTTGGGGTGAATGTGAAAGACAACTAATCCATGTATCTCTCTCACATCGATGTTTCTCTCTCTGTCTCTCTCTCCCTCCTTCCTTCCCTCCCACTCTCTCTAAAAATCAATGGGAAAAATATTCTTGGGCTGCACACAGCGGGCTGCACACAGCGGAGGCTGCACACAGCGGAGGCCTCACCAGGCACGGCCCCTCGGCAGGTGGACATAAAACTGAGGGAGGGTGAACAATGACGGAGCGAGGGAAGGGGGGACTCCTGTGGAGCCCGGCTCCCCTTCTGCAACTTCACTTCAACCACTTCCCCTCGCAGCCCCGGGGTCCTCAACCCAAGGGGGGCTCAGAGTCGGGGACAGGGCATCCTGGTTGTCCACCACGGAAAGCAGCAGGGATCCTACCAGTTCAAACAAAGTCATCTCCGCAGGTAACGCTCACAAGGCCACCTGCCACGTGAAAACGGCTCAGAGCCCCCGGGGACGGAGGGAGGGGGCCAGGTGTGCCTGTGGGGTTACCACCTGGACACATGACCAGCCTGAGAGGCCTCGGGGTCACAGAGGAGTTCCTGAGAGTCCCCCCAAGCAGGGGCTCCCACAGGCTCAAGATCGGAGGTCGCCGGGACCTGGAGGCCACTGTGGCAGGGCAGGGTGCCCAGGTCACCCCAGGTCAGCCCGGCAGAGGCGGGCCAGTGAGTGTCCAGGAAACAAGAAAAGCTAGTGGACTTGAAGTCCGCACAGGAACCGGGACTGACACAAGAAATGGGTGCTTTTCCAGCAAAAAAACATAAAAGGTGCCATGAGAACGACCGACGAAAACTGTGGAAAACTGCCAAGAAACCCGGAAAGTGCTGAGGACTCGGGACGGAGAGGGAGCTGGGGAGAACCGGGCCGAGTTCCTGAAGCGTGTCCAGGTGTCCGGTAAACCCCACGCGGGGCAGAGCTGAGCACGAAACTCGGGGTTCGCAGACCACGCTCCACCCAGCTCTGCGCCCACCGTCTCAGTCCCCAGCACGTCCTGAGTGGCCGCTGGCACGGTCCCCTCAGTCAGCACAACCCAAAACCCCGCCCCGGGCTCACCTGTGGGTCTCAGGCTCCTTGGTGCCACCACCCTGGAGGGCCATCCTGGCAGACACGGCAGGACCCTGGGGGCAACAGGGAACTGTGTGAACCGGAAAACTGAGCCACAAGCACGCTGTGGGGTCTGAGCACAGATCAAGTCAAACCACAAGTGGGCCGAGCCCAGCCCCGGGAGCTTGGGAGGGGACGGGAGGGGACGGGAGGGGAGGGAGGAGGCTGGGCAGGGCTGGCCGCTGGAGACTGGTTGTCCTTCGTGGCCTCATTTGGGGACCTCGAGGCACCGCCAGGCTCGGTTTGCTGAGGGCATCAGAGCAGAGGCCCTCAGTCCAGTGGCCCCTTGTTGAACGGACTGAACTACAGGGACCCCTGGTAGGGTCCGAGGTCACGGCCGTCAGGGAAGCCGCGTAACCTGCAGACAGTGAAAGGCGGCCTCCACCCAGCAGACCTCCTGCCGCCTGTGCTTCCAGCACGTTCCCTGTCCTCCCTCAGGCCCCAAGCACAGCTCGGAGAGGGAGGGGCTGCTCAGGCACCAGCTCCTGGGACCTGCCCCGGGAGGAGGAGGACTGAGGCTGGTGCTGGGTCCTCTGCCCGGGAGGGAACCACCCCACAGACTTTGGGCACCAAACATGGCCTAGGACAGGTCTCCGCGGGGAGGAGGGGAGCCGAGCCACAGCGCACAGGGGACTCGGCTGACAGGGCTGGTCCCCCGAGCACCTGGCCTGGCGCCTGGCGGGAGGGACACCGAGCTTAGAGATGAGCAGAGTGACGCCAGGGCCACTCAACGCCGAGGCAGGAAATGGGGTGAGTGGCGTCACCAAGAGCAGCCAGGCCCGTCCTGGTTCCCAACCAGGCAACCCCCAGCCACCTGTCAGACACCGGGCCACCCAGCTAACACCCCAAGGTGCCTGTGGAGGAAGGGCCGGGTCACTGTTCTCACCAGCTACGCGAGGGCCGTCTCAGCCAGTCCCCAACTCGGAGAAAAGAGCCGGCTGGGCCTGGAGCTGAGGCTTCCCTACAGCTTCCTCTCCTCCCCTGGCCTGTCCCCCGGCATCGACACGACACTGCTCTGCAGACGCCAGCCTCGGGCCAGCGAAGGGAGCTGAGTGAGGAGGCCAGCGAGGCCTAAGGGGCAGCAGCCCAAGCCCCTGAGCCCCAGGGCCCCCAACCAGGCACTGGCGAGCAGTGAGGGCCAGTCCCACGGGCCTGTGATGCGGGATTACAAACATACTTGGTCTTCCTCCCATTCCTGGCACAGCTCCTAGGCCCTGCCACATCCTGTGCTGAGATGGGAACAGTGTCTTTTTATTGTTTTTCCTTTCTTTATTGATTAGCAGTGGTTCTCAACCTTCTGGCCCTTTAAATACAGTTCCTCATGTTGTGACCCAACCATAAAATTATTTTCGTTGCTACTTCATAACGGTAATGTTGCTACTGTTATGAATCGTCATGTAAATATCTGATATGCGGGATGGTCTTAGGCGACCCCTGTGAAAGGGTCATTCGACCGCCAAAGGGGTCGAGACCCACAGGTTGAGAACCGCTGGATTAAGGTATTACATCTGTGTCCTATACCCCCATCGTCCCCCCTCCTCCAACCCCCCATTCATGCCCTCACCCCCCTGGTGTCTATGTCCATTGGTTAGGCCTATATGCTAGCATACAAGTCCTCTGGTTGATCTCTCCCTCTAACCCCCACCCTCCCCTACCTTCCCTCTGAGGTTTGACGGTCTGATGGATGCTTCTCTGTCTCTGGATCTGTTTTTGTTCATCAGTTTATCTTGTTCATTATTTTCCATAAATGAGTGAGATCATGTAATATTTATCTTTCTCCGACTGGCTTATTTCGTTTAGCATAATGCTCTCCGGGTCCATCCACGCTGTTGGGAATGGTAGATCCTTCCTTTTTACCGCAGCGTAGGATTCCATTGTGTAGATGGACCAGTTTTCTCACCCACTCATCTGCTGATGGGCACTCAGGCTGCTTCCAGACCTTAGCTGGGTGAACTGTGCTGCTATGAACGGTGACTTTTGTTATATCGATGAAGTGACCTTAGGGCCGCACCTGAGGACCAGCTGGTTGCCAGAACCAAGCACCTGATGGGAGGACTGGACCCCTCAGCCACCCCCACCCTGGGGAGGGGACAGGGGCTCTAAGTTGAACCAGTGGCCAAAGAGTTCGTCAATCACACCTGCCCAAGAGTCCCCGCGGAAAGTCAAAAGGACAGGGCTTGGCCCGGACGGCGTGGCTCAGTGGTTGAGTGTCGACCTATGAACCAGGAGGTCACAGATCGGTTCCCAGTCAAGGGCACAGGCCAGGGTTGTGGGCTCATCCCCAGTACGGGGCGTGCAGGAGGCAGCCGATCCATGATCCTCTCTCATCGATGCTTCTCTCACTCCCTCTCCCTTCCTCTCTGAAGTCGACAGAAACATCTCTTTCTTAAAGTCTGCTCCGAGAGCAGCAAGGCGCTGGCTGCGGCTGAGACGCTGTGTGCGCCCTTTGTCCTGAGAGGCACTTTCCAGGAAACTGGCAGCTTGGCCGAGGCCCAGCCTCCTGCTCCGCGGGTGGGGCTGGACCCTGGCACCGAGGGCAATGCTGCTGCAGCAGTTTCAGGGAGCATTTCCTCTAACCCCGGACACGATGCTCAGACTTCTCCCTCGGGAGGGATGCGCCGTGTCCTGAGACAGGCCTGCCCTCCGCAGCAGGGCTGGGCTGTCCCTGCAGCAGGCGGGGGTTCCGGACTCCCCGCCAGGACGCCGCGCCAGGTTCTGCTCTGGCCCCTGTGGACAGACAGGGGCCACGTGCCAACCTGACTAACCCTCAGAGACCTAACGTAACCACGAAGGATGGCCTGCAGTTAAAAATTAATTAAAAAGCTGTCTGTGCTGGGCAGTCACATGCCAGGCTGGCATCTTCCCTGACAAAAATCAACTGTGATCTTCACCGAGCCTGTTGTGTTTTTGCATCTATGGTAACAAAACTTTGGAATGTCTGGAAAACTTGTAACCTCCCTTTTTGGCTAGCGATGGCCTCATAAACCCTTTATTTTAAAAGGGGGAGTTAAACCAGGGGGGGGCGGTCACAGTTCATTTACCGATCTGGGCACGTGCCCGGGATGCGGGCTTGATCCCCAGTGTGGGGCGTGCAGGAGGCAGCCAATCAATTCCTCTCGCTCATCATTGATGTTTCTATCTCTCTCTCCCTCTCCCTTCCTCTCTGAAATCAATAAAAATATATTTAAAAATAAATAAATTAAAAGGGAGTTAACATTTTTTAACATCACCCATTAAAGTACAAGCCAGACAGGCACGTTCCTTTGTGTAAACAGCTCCCGCGAAGAAAAAGCCTCGTAAGAGTTTATGGAGCCAAAGCAAAGACAACTGCCGGGGGGGGGGCAGCACCCGGGGCCTGAGAAGACGCTCAGAGACGGGCATTCCGCTGCCTGTTCTGTACGCAGAGGCCCAGGCTTCCTCGGGGATTACGTTCACGCCATCCTATGTGGGTGCTTGGTCTCTGGGCTTGTGGGGCCCCCAGGCAGGCCTCCCCTGAGCCCTCAGGTGTAGCAGGGGCCCCTTCACCCACGGTATGCAAATGCTTATAGAATCTTAAGTGAACATAGTTCATATTTCAACTGTGTGTGGGGGGGGCGCGAGAGTTTGCCTTTAGGTAGTAGAAGCAGCTGGAAGTTTCACGTTGTTATTTACTATTTTTTTACGACGACTATTAACTTGACAATCAGGAAAGACAAAAAAAGTCCACTTGGACAGAAACCATTGGAAGGAAAACTAATTTATCCGCTTTAACTGCAATGTGCTCCCCTTACGGGAACCTAGACTGTAATCTCCCCGGAAGGAGCCGGCGCGGAGTGACAGCCAGCGATGGGGGCAGGAAAGGAGGGGAGCGTCCCTGGAGCCGGCCAAGGAGCAGGGCTGGGCCCAGGGCTGAGAGCAGGACTCTGGGAGGATGGGCAGGGCGTGGTTTCAAATCTAGGAAATCCCCATTTCTCAGCGCCAAGCTCGCAGCCAGGGAACGGAATGGAAGGACTCTTTAGCCCCAGAGGGCAAGAGGGGGTGTGAGCCAAAGCGCCGGCGGGCGGGGCGGGTGGCTGTTTAACTTACAACCCGGGGCGGGGAGTGTCCAGGGGAAGGCCAAGGCCGCCTGGAGTCCTCCGGGGCCGGCAGAAAACTCGGGGCCGGCGGGCAGCATTTCACACAGGGTTTCTCTGTAAGCGCCCCGAGGGGCAGGGGCCTGGCAGGGCGCTGACCTCAGGCCAGGGAGGTGCCGCCTCGGTCCCGGGAGGTGCCGGCCGGAGCCGCGCTCCAGGGAGACCATGAGTCGCTTGGCCAAACCCTGGCTTAGGAAGGGGCCATCTGGGGACAGCCAGTGACGCTCCCCAGGCCCGCGGCCAGCCCACCGCGGACACGAGCTGCGAAGGACCCGCTCCCTCCCGGCGGGGACCGTGTGCCCTTTGACCTAGGACAGTCCAGTTTCTCTTGCGCCGCCAGTCCGTGCGCTGTGACCATCTGTCGCTGCGGGCTCCGCACCCACTGGGGTCCACTGGACGCTGCGAACCCTCCTTGTCCAAAGTGCAGCTGCTCTCCCCGCAGGAAACGGGGAGTTCTCGGGGCTCCCGCGCCCCCTTCCGCCGGGTTTGGAAAGCGTGGGCTGAGGGGAGGGGGGCTCTCTGCGAGGGGCGGGGGGGTCCCCC